GATGACCTGGTTAGGAGAGTAGAGGTATTAGATTTGACTTATGTTAAGAAAGGTAGGGGTAGACCTAAAAAGACTTGGTTAGAAAATATTAGGAATGACCTTTCTTTATTAGATTTAAATGAGAATTTGACTTTTAATAGGACACAATGGAGAAAAAGGATTCATGTAGCTGACCCCACGTAGTGGGATAAAGGCTTGATGTTGTTGTTGTTGTATTCATTATTCGTGAGCATCATTTACTTGTATTTGTTTAATACAAATTATCTTGGTTTAGGCATTTAGGTGCAGTTCCTTGTAGTCCATACAAGTTCAAGTTCTATGTAATATTGTTCAGTTCAAGCTAGTGTACAGTTTGAGTTCCCTGTGGTTTGTTTGAGTTCAAGTTCTATGTTTAGTCCTTCGATTGTCCAAATTCAACTTCCTTGTAGTTCATTTACGTTCAAATTAAGTTCCCTATAATTGTTCAATCAGGTCCTCTATCCATTTCAGATTTTAGCAGCCTCCCAGCATCTCCGCTATGTAGGAGAAATTTTAAGAGTCTGGGCCATCCCACCATGCTATGAGAGTGTATGGAAGGTGTTGGGCAATCCGCGACATTATTTCTTCAATCCTTGCACGCTATAAGAGCCTGTATGGGTCTTCAATGTACTTGTTTGAAAATGTGCAATTGGTTTCCCCGCAGACACTAAGGCACTTACGGGTAATTAAAAGTGTAACCACTATGCTACAAGAAATACGGGGCATACCGGTCTCGCCTTAAGCGTTGCACCAGGCTTCCTCCTACCGTGCTACGAGAGCGCGAATAGGGGATCCTCTAGCTCGCCGCAAATACCGAGAGAGGAATTTTGTAAGTTTTAGAAGTTATACTTGTGCAACGAGGGATGTGATGATGGTGACAACGCAAACGCACACGACAAAATGCACAAAATCCCTCTTTCATTTGAATATTTCTTATTTTCTCTTTTTTTTCCTCACTTTTTCTTTTCTTCTTTTTCTTATATAACACACACACACACACACACACATATATATATATATATATATTTGCAGGATAAAATATGTAGAGTTAGAATTGTACGTCTCAGTGTTGTATGAATATCAGTACACAAATAACGAACGTAAGATTTTTTACATGAAAAATTCTTAAAAGAGAAAAAATAATGGGGCCACACCCAAAATAATTTCACTAGTGTTTGAGTATATTACACTTGACTAAATCATTCTTGAGGGCTATCAAATTACAACAATTAACTTTCTGATTGAAATCTAGTGACAAGCAGAGGTCAGATGCAGGTCCGATGACATTTTGTAGGGTAATAATTTGGCGGAAGTCCATTATCATGTGGTAGTCTAGTGAAAATTTGGATGTCAGTTGATGGTCCGGTGAAAGTTCAAACATTAGTCAATGGTCCGGTGGATATTCGACGTTAGGCAGTGGTTTGGCGGAAGTCCATGCGTCATTTGGTGGTCCGATAAAAGTCCCGCGTCTAGCGATGGTCCGACGGATGTTCGATATTAGGCTGTGGTCCGACACAAGTCTGGTGTTGGGTGGTGGTCCGGTGGATGTTCAGCGTTAGGTGGTGGTTCGACGGAAGTCTGGTGTGGGCAATGGTATGGTGAAAGTTCAACATCAAGCAGTGCTTCGGCGGAAGTTCGGGCGTCAGTTGGTGGTCCAGCAAAAATCTGGCGTATGTCTGGTGTCAGGCGATGGTCCGACGGAAGTCTGGTGTCGTGCGGTGGTCTAACGGAAGTCCGACGTCACGCGATGGTCCGACAAAAGTCTTGGTGGTGGTGGATGAGGAGCTAGGTGACAAGAGTGATCTCTGATCTCTCTTCTTTCTTCCTTGCTTGGGATCTCTTTTCAATGGAAATGAGGGGTATATTTATAAATTTTCTAGAGTAGCATGACTAGTAAATAGGAGGAAGATTAAGGGTAAGTTGGGAGTCATTTGCATGGACGGCCAATGTTGAAACCCTTAATCGTGGACCGTTTACTAGACATTTGAATGTCTTAATGATATCAGAATTCAGTGATCTTGGGCTCGTTGGATTTGTCTCGTCTAACTGCTTGATTCAACTATAAGCATATCATGTTTGGAAATCGTTTGGTAATTCAAATTGTGATTTGAACCTTCCAATAGCGCTTCGGGTCTTTGATTTGACCCATTTGGGCTCATATTGAGTTGTTTTTGGTGTCGTTGGGTTCATATTTTCGAGACGTTTAGCTCGACTATAAGTTTGCTGAAATTGGAGTTTGGATGATCCCAATTTTAAAATTGGAAGTTTCCAACTTGATTTTTCCTCAAGATTATATATATTCACAATGCATATTTTCTAAATTTTTTATTTTTTAAATACCATGAGCTACATTATTTATTTTAAAAACATAGATCCATATAACGCATTAGTTATTTATTTATAAAGTACATTATGAACTAATTATGAAATTATTAATACTCCTAGCATATAATAAAATTTGCACATAGAGCTTTATTCAATGAGTAAAAAAGATTATCTCTTAGTTAAATAATCATCACACGTATTTAATATATGTTAAAAGATTTAGGATCTCTTTGGAACAGTTTTCTCGCTATTTTATTTTTCAAACTTTAACTATAAATTTTTTTTTGCTACTCCTTTTGTATTGCTTTCACACAATTTTTTTTAAAAAAAAAAATTATGGTGAAAATTTATTTTTAACAACCATAATAGTTATTTTTTCAATATCAACTTCACAACCAACATAATAAATTACTACAGCGTATCAAATTAATCCTTAATATGTACCTTTTTTATTAGATACATTATAATAACATAACATTTCAATTATCATAAAAATTTAGGATTTGTATAAGAGAACAGTAGCTTTTTATTAAATTTATAGCTTTTTATAAAATTTATTTTGAAATTATTGTGGGAAAATCAACTATCCATTATGGAAATAAAAACAGCATTTCATACAAAATTATGAAAAAAAAAAAAGAAAAAAAAAACAGCAAGAATGTAATAATCAATGAAAATTATAGTTACTATTTAAAAGATAAAATCATAGGAAAACTATCTAAAATAGACCCTTAATGACAAATATTATCATAAAATATTGCAGATCAAATAATAACGCAAACCATTCTTAATAGTATTAAATTTGTATAAAATATTAAAAATAAATAAATACATTTATTCACTGGACAAAAAATTAAAAGTTTGCAAAATTAAGGACTTTTCGGTAATTTAACCATCCCTGCTGGGGATAAAAACGGGAAGTAGCCTTGATATTGAAGAGGGTGAAAACAGACGACCGAGCTTTCAGAGATCACCAAACTCTCAATCTCTCTCTCACCCTCCCTCTCTCTCTCTCTCTCTCTCTCTTTCTCTCTAGCCCTACGAATTGTCTCTTTATATATCCATATAATAATCACTCGTATTTCTAGTTTCCTCGTACATTTGTCGATCCCCCTTTCCGATCCAACTGGCGATTGATCCTCACCGGCGTTTACCGGCACCGGAAAAGTACCTGGGGAAGCCGCAAAGAAAATGCAGTAGGTTTTTTGGGGTTATAAACGTGGGACCGACACAGTATAAGGCCGAAATGGTGGCCAGATTGATGCGGTGGCCGTGGCCGACGGGTTCGTCTAAGAAGTTCGCAGTGAGGCTTATTTTAAGGGGAATCGATGGGTTCCCGGTGGATAAAGAATTAGGGGCGGAGACAAGGATGAAAGCGGAGGTGAGATGGAAGGGGAAGACAAGGGCACTGCGGTCGCTGAGGTCGATGAAGAGGAACTGCACAAGAGAGGACGTGATGAATGGGGATGGAGGGAAGGTGGAGTGGAACGAGGAGTTTGAGAGCGAGGTTGTGCTCACTGCGCAAAGGGAGAACGGTTTCAATCCGTGGGAGATCGAGATCGCCGTCTTCTGTGTGAGTCTTATTACCCCAATGGCACCATTGAGCTTTCATTTCTTTGATTATTTTTCTCTTTTTTATATTTTTTATGATTTTTTTGGGGTTCTACTGTTGCTTTTTATCCATTTGAATTTTTGATGCGTGGACCTTGTCTTAGGGTTTGCAGAGGAGAGACGGTATGGTTCGAGTTTTTCCCTATTAAAATTTTTCTCCTTTCTGGTAAATCTCTGCTTGTTCAGGGATGGGGATTTCTCGTTAGATTTTTCCATGCGTTTATGTTGCAACAGTTTTTTTGACCTGATCTTTTGGGAATCCATGCAAGGTGGGAAGGGGAATAGTAAATTTTATCTTGCAGTGATCGGCTTTTCAGGAGAATGGAATTGGAACTTGTGGCTTCACAATGGTTCCATCTCTGTCTGATGCGAACGTTTTCTTATAAGAAATTTATCATCTTTTTTGATATTTTTGGATTGTTTTTTTTTTTTTGTCCATATTTGCGATTCTAATCTTGCCTTGTGTCGTATGATAATCATTCAAACATTGCGAAGTTCTTCATTTAACTGTATAAATGATAATAGATGTTTCAAGTATATTTTAAACTTCTCAATTACTAAAAAGTTGCATTTTTCAATTGCATATGCAGAAATTATTTGATAAGAAAATTTATGTTAAAGTGACATCTGGTTTTATTAGGGACATGTTATCGGTGCAATTCAATCAAAATTATAAGAAAGCATTAAGACTGCGCTATTTATGGATTCCAGTGGTTTGTGTTCTTTTCAAATGGTATCCATCCCAAAGCATGTGGATAGTTCTTTTGTTTGTGGTTGCTCCATTCTTGTAAGTGTCTAGAACAAAACCTGCAATTCGGGCTTTTTGTTATTCAACAGAGAAATATCATACAACTACCATTTTTTACTTCATCAATAACTGTTTGTCAGATAGTACGCAGTATTCCAGTGGTTTGTGTTGTTTTCAAATGGTATCCATCCCAAAGCATGTTGATAGTTCTTTTGTTTGTCGTTGCTCCATTCTTGTAAGTGTCTAGAACAAAACCTGCAATTGGGGCTTTTTGTTATTCAACAGAGAAATATCATACAACTACCATTTTTTACTTCATCAATAGCTGTTTGTCAGATAGTACGCAGTAATTTGTGTAATCTAATGTTGTCCAACTTGGGTTCCTCATTTAAAATCTTGATAGCGTGATCTTTCTTTATATCAATGTTACATCATTTTCTATTTTGGGGGAGCATTTGAGCCCATGAAGAGTCATTCATTTAAATATCGATTATTTTGCTTTAAAGTTTATTTTTGTGCTGCCTTGGCCTATTGAACATCTTTAGATGAAATCTCAATTAATTACTTCAATTCTGTAGGGTCTGCAGCCAGGTAATAAGAACAAAACAATCGTGGTTGGAATGACTTCATTGAATCTTGCTGAATATGCTTCTGCCCCTGGCGAAGAGTTCGAGCTAAATCTTCCATTGCTGCTGTGTGGTAGTGCTGAGTCTTGCCCAATAATTCAAGTATGTTTGAATGATTCTTTTCTAAAAATGTGCAGTAAAAATTATGCTTACATATTATTACATATTACTTCAATTTTGTAGTACGCAGTAATTTTTTATTATGCCTACCTGCTTATCTACTTCAATATTAACTATGGTTTTGAAGTGTTGTTGACCTTTATGCAATTGCGCTTTTTTTTTTTTTTATCATGTTGCAGTTGTCTTTGAGATTGTTTGAGTTAAGACCTTTCCCGCAACAAAAGGAGGCAGTGCAGAAACCCGCAACTTCTCCATCTTCCCTGGGAGATAAAGATGAACTTTCTTCTCTGAAAGCTGGATTTCGAAGAGTATTTAGAGAGTTTATGCCTGGTAGGAAGTTCAGAAAGACACTCCGTGGCGACGGAAGTAGTGATGGCAAGTCCTCTGTTAGGACTGAGGATAGTTATTATGCTGATACTGATTCCATGGAAGATGATGAACGTGATGAAGAAATTGAATATTGCAAAGATAATAGTACTACTCGAAAATCTTTCTGTTATGGTACATTGGCAGCTGCAAATATGTTAGGTGTTACCATTTATAATGATATAAAAATGAATGATGAGCATGAAGATTTAATTTACTACAGTCACAGAAGATCCGATGTTGATTGTTCTCATGTTGAGGAGGCTATACCGTCCATTCCCGAGAAATCTCCTAAGCGAAGCATCCTTCCCTGGAAAAAGAGAAAGTATAGTTTTAGATCTCCTAAAGCGAAAGGTGAACCTTTGTTGAAGAAAGCTTATGGAGAAGAGGGAGGGGATGACATTGACTATGACCGTCGTCTGCTTACTTCTTCTGATGAATCTTTATCTGGAAAGGTACCTTTAATTTGTACCTCAAATAAATCAACTTACATCTCTCTTTTTTACTCGAGCTAAATTGGTTATAAACTCATTTCTCTATTTCATTGAAAACTAAACATCTATAATTCATATTAAATAATATGTAATTTTTCTCTGGTGCAGAAGTCTGATGATGATGGGTCTGCTCATCATTCATCAATATCAGATTTTGGAGATGACAATTTTGCTGTTGGCAGTTGGGATTCAAAAGAAATCATTAGCCGTTGTGGACAGATGAAGCTCTCCACTCAGGTCTTTTTTGCATCCATAGACCAGAGGAGTGAAAGAGCCGCTGGTCAGAGTGCATGCACAGCACTAGTTGCTGTTATAGCTGACTGGTTCCAATCTAATCAGAATATAATGCCCGTCAAGTCTCAGTTAGACAGTCTCATTCGTGAAGGTTCCTTTGAGTGGAGGAACTTATGCAAAAACCAAACATATAGAGAACAGTTTCCTGACAAGCATTTCGACCTTGAGACAATTCTCCAGGCAAAGATCCGCCCCCTATCCGTTGTGTCTGGTAAGTCCTTCATTGGATTTTTTCGCCCCGATCTTTGTGAGGATAACAGAGGCTTTGAGTTCCTCCATGGAGCCATGTCCTTCGACAGCATTTGGGAAGAGATCAGTCAGGTCAGGTCTGATTGCGTCTTCATTGTTAGTTGGAATGATCACTTCTTTGTACTTAAGGTTGAGCGAGATGCCTATTACATCATAGACACACTTGGAGAGAGGCTCTATGAGGGTTGCGAGCAGGCTTACATATTGAAGTTTGATAAGAGCACAACCATTCATAAATTACCAAGCAAAAAGGAAATCAGTGCAAATGGGAAGGAGGGGAGTTCTTGTGGAGAAGAAAGTGAATGTGACAGACCTGAGGAGGAGCAGCAGCTTGTTTGTAATGGAAAAGAATCATGTAAGGAATACATAAAGAGCTTCCTGGCTGCAATTCCTATCAGGGAGCTCCAGGCTGATGCGAAGAAGGGATTAATGGCCTCTACTCCACTTCACCAACGCCTTCAGATTGAGTTCCACTACACTGAGGCATCAAAGGATTTATCGAACTTCGTTGCTTTTCCACCATTACAGTCTACAGGATCAAATTCACTGATCTCTTGGCCTGCATATCCATCACCATCTACAGAACAAACCCTCACTGTATAGAACCCAACTGATGTGATTATTAGCTGTTGAAGTCTCTTTTTAGCTTTTTCTTTGCATAGATGAAGTCCTAACTGCTACTGACTAAGGTGAGCCATGCGGCAACCTTCTTAATAGGGGGACTGTATGGGTAAAAGCTAAAGAGAGCGGCCCATATCTTAGTTTCCAACTTACCTGATGCTAACTGTAACACTTTTTTTTTCTTACAAAGCTGCAACTCTCTCTTTTCCTCTTGATTTTGTAGTCAAAGTTGTCTTTAGTTTACTTCATCAGTTTTCGGCTGGAAGAATAACTACTGATCTTAATCACTGTCTAATGTATTCTTTTGGACTTTCTCAAAGTTATAAAACAACCATTTCTTTTCTTAACATCCAGTTTTTGTGCGAAAACAAGAGTTTTGTTTAGTGATCATCATTTTTTGCCTGTACTGTTGTTGGAAGTATTACAGTAGAAATAGGCTTCGTTTAGGGTTTAGGGTTTTTTTAATACTTCTTAAAGCATTTTTTAATACAAAATTTTGTTTTAAGAAATGGTAACGCATTGGGCCCAATTTTTTCGAGGCTTTTCTACAAGCTACAATATGACTAACTCCGGCTTATTTGAGACAATTTTTTTACTATTTTTTAAAATGACATTTTAGTATAAAAATTAAATTTTTTATACAAAAAAGTCACTTTAAGAAACAATAAAAAAGTCGTCCTAAACAAAGACTTAGTAGAACCCTCTAGAATTATTTATTATTCTTTTCAAAAGATTTCCTGGTCTCTTTCACTTAAGTCGTCTTTTGTATTTTAGCTGTCATTCTTTTCATTTTCTTATAAATTACTTAGACAAGTAAAAGGTTTTATAAACTTAAACTTTTTTCTTTTCTGCTTTCATTTAAACGTCTTTTTGGATAGTTATTTATTTGGTATTGACGTATGTCATCCTCGTTGTACTTAGCTGATTTTTTTTTTCTGTTTCTCTCCACTCATTCCTTCCCATAAGAAGTATGAGCAAGCATTAATCAACTTTTCTGAAAGCTGTTAAGAAAAAGATTATAGATTTGACTGAACAACTTGTCGAAAATGATGAATATTTCACCTCAAATCAACTTTTATCCTCCTTTATGTTCATTGCTCGAATGCAAAGAAATAAAGTCAGCCATTTGTACTGTTTTGCCTAGATTTTTGATCGATTTTTTCTCTTAATTCGGCTAGAATTTTTGTGAGAAGCTATTGCCAGAAAGTAGCAACACGACTCGCACTTTCGCCGGTGAGGTGAGAGCCCTCACTCTCACATGAGAAAAATTATTCTATGTGGAAGTCTAATCCCATCTAGATACCTAAGTTTGCGGCTCGGTACCGCAGTATCGAGGCTCGCTATAGCTCAGTATCGCACCTCAGTATCGCTGACATAACTGATTCTAATTGATATCGAGATGTAGAACTACATTCGACATCCGCACATAATAATCTCTTCTCACATGGTCGGCCAATCCATTTAGAACTAATTTATATCACTAGTAAGAATTGTGAAATTATTAAATATCAGTTTTAAAAGTAATTTCAAATATCTAATTGATTGAAAATGAATGAAATTCAATAATTTGTCTTTGTTTGGAATAACTACAACATTTTATAAAGTTGACTGTAAGATTGCTTTGGAGAAAACGACTTCTATATTACAATTACATAAAGTAGTTTTTTTATCACATAAATTTTCATAAAATAATGAAATTAACAAAATAAAAATAATCAAATAAAACTATAATTGCTATTTAAAAAAACAAAATTGTCAAACAACCATACCAAACAAACCCTTAATGTTAAAACCCATCCTCAAAAAATGAAAAGTTTCAATCTTGAAAATTTATTTTGTGCGGTCACTGAACGGTTCAGAGCGAATGTCACATGGTACCGAACAGAACACAGCAAAAAAAATGATGTGGTACATTCCGATTCGCTTGTGGACGCCATTCGGTGACTCCACAAAATAATTTCACCCAACCTTGATCCTGGAATTTGTTTGAAAAGAAAGCCAATAGTGACACACATGCCTGTTCACTTCTGAGTAGCCAGTTAATAAAAAAAAAAAAAAACCTTTAAACGTATAGCCACAAACAGCAGGAAATATTAAGCACTTAATCTGTGTTCTGATCTCCCAATTTAATTTTTTTTTTTAGAACAAGATCAGTACCCCAAACAAAGAGTTTTACTTGCATGTAAAGACCAAACGCCAGATTCAACAAAATCAGGAATCCACTTGTCTTGTGGAGTTGAAATCCAGCAAAGGATTTTGGAATCTCAGTGCAGGCTTTCACATTGGAATTCTTGTAGCTACAGCAACCAGCAATCATTCCACCAAAAGAAAAATTTATCAGTAAGTTATCTATCTTGGTAATGAGTTGTCTTAATCAATGAGATACTCATTCAAGCTAATTATAACATAGAAATTAAGCAAGCATGTGACCGAGGCTTCATTTGGGACGGCTTTTTTACTGCTTCTTGAAGCAACTTTCTAGTACAAAAATTTTAATTTTCATACTAAAAAGTTGCTTCAAGAAGCAATAAAAAAACTATCCCAAAAGAAGCCTAAATCTGCCAACTGGTAGACCATGTGCATTTTTATTGTGTTCTAAGTAGCAGTTAGGCAAGGATTACACTCTATCTTATCTTTAATACAGTGTAATTAATTGCTCAAGAAACCTAAACGAATCTTCTTGTAGTTGAAGCGATTCTATATATATATATATAAGAATGACTTGCAGTATGTGAAATTACATTCAGAATAAATGGCTCACCAGATATACGATATCAAATGCTTCATTGTAACTCTCGAGAGAACTCTCTACACTGTCATTTCTGAAACAAAATTAAGGGGAAAAAACTATTAAAAGACCAAAATACGGTTCAACCAATAACCATTCCGCCAGCATGAAGCACACAAAAGGGATTCAGTACAAGTCAAGTCAAATAAGAAATGATATCCCGTATGGATTTGCAAAAATTGTAGTTGGCCACCAAAACACTGGCTTTTCATTCTGTGATCTCCGTATACCACTGGAATAGCTACAACTACAACGTTCAAGAATGATAACCAAAATCTTTTCAAATACTCAAAAACATGACCAAAACAGCCACCAACTTTTGGGATTTGGCATTATTTTTTTAGTTCTCCGGTGATTCAAGTTAAATATGCTTGTAACATATGGGTTTCATTATCGATGAAATAGCTCTTGTGTAAGTGTATTATCATAGAAATAGTTCTTGTAAAGGGAGATTTGACTAAAAGCCATTACCTTGTGGTTCCAGTCCGGGTCTTGAATATACAAGATGATGAAGATATTCGTTCAATTGGCCTAATGTGAAGGGTATATACTAGATTCTTTGCATATGAAGTTGACTCTAGAATAAATAGTTACTCTCACCGCTCCAAAATTTGAGAAAAGATATACGTAGTATATATAATATAATGTTTTTACTTTTAATTCGCCTGTAACAACTTATATTAGAAGCTTTGCCTTCCAACTTCACTAAGCTCTTTCACCCCATTCCACTTAAATTCACTACCATTCTAAAAATTATGATTTACCAACTGTGCTAATGGGGATGTCATAAATGTGTTTTATAGAATCCAAGATATTTGAATAGTCCACAGATATGGCGTATTTATTATAAAACTGGATCTAAACTAATCTTTGAAAAAGAAAAAATACAAAGAAAATTATGAAATCTACACTAGTAAAGACAAGTGTGAGTTCCAAAGCATAAATAGAAGCTTCATGACATAATGTATATTATTTTTTGGGTTGAAAAGTTTTAAGAAGTTTTAAATGGTAGATGAAACTGTATTAATCTAAAAACAACGAGTGTAAGTTATTGTTATAAAAACCATAGTTCTAGTTCATCAAAACATGGTTTTACAGTCTAGGGAGAAAAAGCATGATGAATGAAATAAACAACTCATTCAAAAAAACTAAGCTGCTTCACATTTATGCGGAGATTAAAGAATAAAACATAATTAAAAAGTGTAAAAAATCAACAAATAATAAAAATAACTACAATTTTACAATCACTATATCTGTAACTACAAGTAGTACAACAAAATTAATTTGTTAGCTAATTGTAAAATCTATGACAAATTTCAACAAACGTAAACATGAACTCTCAAGAAATATATCATAAAAGTTCAAATAATTACAAAAAGACAATTTTTGGAGCAATGAGTGAAACATGAAATTAATTTGTTCAAGGAATGTGACGTATTTGTTATTTTAAAGCAATAATGAAACAGAAGATTCGGACGCTTTGACGAGATAAAGAAATGTGTGAACTCCAATGTTAGGTTCAAGTTTAAAACATATTTAGGCTTTGTTTGGGACAGCTTTCTCATCATTTTCTAAAACAACCTTTTAATACAAAAAAGTATATATTAAGAAAATTTTTAACTAAAACATTGTTTTAGAAAGCTGTCCCAAACGAATCCTAAGATTCATGTGCATATCTTCAAGGTGTTTTAGGAGAGCTTTGATTTGCAACACAATGGCTCTTAGATTGGATGAATCAAGCAGTCAAATTTTTCAGAAAAATAATGATACCTTCAAACTATTGCTAATAAATTATAAATAGATGATTGCATTAGTTGAATGCCGTTATAAATTTTCATCAATTTACTCGAAATTGTATCCACATATATAAATTGTATCCAGGCATCAAATCAAAGCAGGTATGATATCAAATCTCTTCAGTGCCATCTAGATTAAACTATAATTTTTTTTATTTAAAAACAAGGCAATTTATTTTCAAACAGGTGAATCTATCAATGCCCGGAAAGCTAATATCTAGTGAAATTTTGGATAAGAAAAGTGGAGGGTTGCGTTAGGTAGTCGACAGCCAGCGTAAAATTTGTCGAACAAAAATGACATGAATCCGTTCAGAGTGATGGTGAAATAGATTGTGATATTATCAGCATAATTCAAGTTGGATGGTTGAAGTGGCGGAATGCATCGGGCTTGTTATGTGATCGAAATGTACCCCTCAAACTTAAGGGAAAATTCTATAAGATGGTAGTGAGGCCTGCAATGCTTTATGGTGCCGAATGTTGGCCATTAAAAGAGAAGCATAATACTAAGTTAAGTGTGGCAGAGATGAGGATGCTTAGATGGATGAGTGGCTTTACCCTTAGAGATAGGATACGAATGAGCATATACGTGAAAAGGTTGGAGTAGCTCGAGTAGAAGATAAGATTAGAGAGAGTTTCCTTAGATGGTTTGGTCACATAAAATAGCGGCCTTCTGATGACCTGGTTAGGAGAGTAGAGGTATTAGATTTGACTTGTGTTAAGAAAGGTAGGGGTAGACCTAAAAAGACTTGGTTA